TAAGTCTGTGCTCTGCAGTGGTTTATTTGCACCTGCAAGGTGTTCCAATGGCACTGTAGTTTCCAATCTCTTCCAATGTATAAGTGAAGTGACCCCTTGTTTCATTTTCGCTTCTTTGGAATCACAAGAGGAATCCCTGGAAAGATCATCTGTGATCAAACCAATTTAATGGAATTTTACAACTCCCTAGTTTGGTGACAAGTCAGAAAAAATATTTGCAGACACAACGGGAGAATCAGCACCTCAAAACTTTCCAAAGAAACCATTTATTTGAACTTGAATAGAGGCTAATGTCCACAGGGATGCAGAGGATTAAATAGTGAAAATATTTATTATATAATATTTGCTGCTGCTGCTTTCCCCCTTCATCTCTTGCCAACTGTCTTTCAAAGATGTACTCGGAGATTGCATCTTGATCTCACAAAGAAAGCTTTCCTCTTTCCAGCTTTTTCTTCCAAACACTTGGTGGAAAAAGGATCGGTCTCCCTCCCTCCATCTAGCCATCTATCTATCTATCAATCAATCTAACAAATTTTTGCTGCCCAACTCAGACATGATGACTCCAGAGCAGCTTACAAAATTAATATACACAAAATAAAACCCATAACACAGACATGTTTAATTCCTACACTGTACATAGCTAACTTATACCAAAGAAAGGTCATGTGTTCTGGTCTTTAACTTACTTTACTACGAATATCCAAACCCTATGTTTTTATGGTCTGGACATTCATAGTAAAATAAGTTAATTTTTAAAGACCCACTGACCTTTTAAAAAATTTCAAGAGGCTTATAAGGTTACTGTAGTGGAATGTAGAAGTTGGTGGTCCTGTCACAATGTCCAGGGTCTTCCTAGAGTTGAACAGGTTGAAAGAATCTTCATTGGCTTGTGGCATCTTGAGAGTTCCGTGGGATGGATATTGTCAGACCTTTGAATTTGGCCAGATAAGGAAACAAACTTCACAAAAAGACTCTGTTAATATAACCTGTTGTTGGGAGCAATATGCCGATTCTGTAAACTGCTTAGAGAAGGCTGTAAAGCACTGTGAAGTGGCATAAATCTAAGTATAGCTATCTCAGTAAAGAATCTTGCAAGCATAATTGTGTTTTCTTTCCCTCTTACATCATATTGGAGCTATGATGATTCTGTTCCTAATGTTTTTCCTTTCTCAGGATGCTGGGCATTTTTTTTTTACTAACTGCTTTTGTAACGCTTCTCAATATTTTCCCAAGGTTATCTCCATGAGTCCTTATCAGCATTGGGCAGGTGGGGGGAGGGGATAGGTACTTTTGTTTTTAGCAATGTTTTTCTAGGTGTTTGTGAACTGTTTAAACCAGGGCTGTCAAACTCATGGCCCATGGGCTGGATGCATGATGTGCTAGCTGTGCCCACACCTGGTTTATCAAAGGGGGGGGGGAGTTACGATATATCACATGACAACACCACTATGATGTGAGTTTGACACTCCTGGTTTAGACTAATTACATGAGATAGGCATCTATAGAAGTCCAGTAAGTAAGTATGATTATTCCAATCTGGATAGGTTGCCTGATTTCTTTCTATTTGAAAATAAAAATATGATCACTGTATAAAAATTATGTGTAATTAGCTGCCAGGCTAGATGGACTATGTCTAGAAACTTCTCATGAACCTTATGCTTCTAGCCTAACACAAAAGGGACAGATCTGCACGTTCAACTTGGTCTGTAGGTCATGTTTATTCCCCAAATGCAAAAATAAATAATGCAAAAATAATGCTTCCTACTCTTACTCCTAGGAAGACTTCCAGCGCTTTGATTCAAAATTCCACTTTTCCTAGTTGGACAGTCAGTGGTGTTCAGTGCCACTTCCTTCTCCCTTTCCCCCTTAATTTTTAATTTTCAAGGTAGGTACTTTGTGTCTGTGAAGCTAAACTATCAAATCTTCATTGCTGCAACATTTTCATGAACTTTCAGAGGAATGTAGAAGTTAAAGAATAAGCTATTCCCGTTATTTAGATTGTTATGGTATCAGATTTAAAAAAATGGTATCACAGGGATTAAAGAAGAAAGGTCTGTGCTAGCAGGATAGGAATATGGTGCGATGGTGTGAAGACATCCATGTATATAATGATTCGGGAAAGTAAAAGAAATGCATAAAAATGACTGTTGTGAGAATCAGTCCATTAAGGAAAATGAGAACGCTTGTTCGTCTGTTTACCCCAGGGGTGGCCATCAGAGTTTGTCTTCTCTGCATGGATGGGAATGACAAGAAGCAGTGGAACAACTATGGACATCCTGGGTGGTGATAGTTTGGCCCTGTTGCCCAAATCATGGCTTATAAAACAGCTGGGAGCAGCAGGGGTGAACAGCAGCTTAGACTGCAGGGTGAAATTGCCCTAATTGAACATTTGAACAAACATAGTAGCAAAATGTCCTTATTTTTCACCAATGACAATGTTACCAGGCGCCACAAGAATTCTTTTTGTAACATATTTTTCCCTGATGAAGATTGCTGCATTTTCTGATATAGTTGGTTCAGGCCTAATAAAGGCAGACTTTGTCTAGTATCTGAAAATAAATAGGAGTGCACCTAAATAATATTTGGATAGGAAATTACCAATGAATTGTTTCTGGGCCAGACAAGGAAATTAAAAAAATATCCCCCCAAAAGATAATAGTGATATTAGTCAATCACTTTTGTCCTGAGTGGATAAGTCCACATAGGCATCAGAACTGAGTTCATTTTTAAAGTGTCTTTATTTTTGGTATATGCAACTATAGAAAGCTAGATGTAATTATTTCTTGGTCGTGCGTGGAATAATTGAACTACTATCTATGGATCAATTCTAACAATATATAAAGTTTTATACAAACTGTAAATTCTGTCTATGCCTATTTTGAAATCAGTCTTGAATGGTAAAAAGTTGAAGATTGTAATCCAAACATTAAGCTTACACATCTATTCCATTTGCAATTGGATGTCTAGTCAATATCCTTTAACTTGCAACCACATGTTCTTACACTTTAGAGAAGGCTATTTTGCTTGTTTTAATTTTCCATTCGTAATTTATCACTGATTAAAACTCTGGGGGGTTAGTGAATTGTAAACGTTTAAAAATTGATTACATAGAATTTTCTGGAAAGGTTACACTGAAACAAACATCTATGAATTCAAATGTCCTTTTTTTAAATAAAATTTTATTTTTAGACGAATTCAAATGTCCTTGAATGACCATAGCATAAGTGTTGATAGATTTCATAACAAGCTCCCAAGGACTTAAGTAAGTTGGTCCAATCCATTTGGAGAACAGGAGCTTGGAGAAAACTGCCTCTCAGATGAATAAAAGCACATAGCTTGCAAGGAATGGAGCAATGTTTGTCTTATTGGACTGAGTATTGTCCTTTTCTGACTCCCCAAAACCCATTCTATTTGGAAAATTCAGATCACAGCAGTAAGAAACTGAAATATATTTTGAGAAGGATTTAATGGAGGATATTTTTAAGAAACCCTAAATTGTCAGGTCTTATGAGAAAGATACCAACTATAACCTGATATTAAACTGACTTGGACCCTCAAATTCTCTACCATTCTAAAAAGAGACTTAGAGCATGTGTTTTATATGCAGACTAGGCATATAAAACATTTTTCGCTCTGTCTACATTAAAGGAGAGACATATCAGCACAAATGAAATCTGACTAGCATTTATCCTTTTCCAGGAAAAAGAGTGAGTTTTAATCTGGCCTAAACTCTTCGTTTTTCCCCTGTTATTTTCACAACTGAAGTATCTCACAAGCTTGTCCACAGGAGCATGAGGCTTTTCCCCTTTTATGAATATGTAGAACCACAACTGGGAAATGTTACAAAAAGAATGATCTGTATAAAACAGCCATGTGTTTTTTAGTGGTTTGTTTTTCTTATGAAAATGAATAGGTGTGTCCACCTTGTCCATTTCCAAAAGTAAGCACATCTCTATCGCATAATGGGTTAGTAAATTTGTCTAAATAATTAATACAATAAATTAATATTCCTGGGGAAATTTAATAGAGGTGAGGTCCTGGTGGGAACTAACGAGATCACTAGAAATGAAGATTTCAGTTCTAACAATTTTAATGAAATATTTTCTATTGATAACTACAGCGGGGGTTGTAACTAAATTGTAGTCATAATCTGAGTTGGGTGGACATGTAAATGGGATAATGAATCAGTCAACCCCAAGATTATCCATTATTGGGAAGGGGGAAGCATCCCAAAAGCATCCCATTGCAGAAGGCATGTCTGTTTATATCAGATGCCAGAAATAGGAATACTCTGAATATTTTGAACTCCAATAGCCACCCGCCCCATTCATCATAAGCAGAAGTAAAAGCCTAAGGGAATTGTCCTCCAAAATGCTCCAAGGGCTATTGTATTCAAGGTATTTCTTGCATGTGATTTAACTGTAATTGGAATGTACTTTGCAACATTGCAACCCGACGAACAATAAAGTTGTGTTGTAATCGCTACCCTTCCTCTTCCTTTCCTGCGACTGCCTACACTACAGACTCGGCTTAAGGCGGGCAGCCAGGGGGTCCACTCCAGTTTCCACACAGGTCCTGCTTGCGTGAGCCGGGGTCTCTCTGAGGTTGTCCGTCACAGCTCCTTTCCTGGTCAAGCGGAAACAGGAGTGAAGCTTCGTGCTCTCCGTAATTACAACCCAGGCAAGCGCAGCGGGGCGTGAATTGGGTTTTCATCTCCTCTAAATCTTTCACGGGCCATTGACTCGTCCGAACCGGTCAGCCCTACGATCGTTTTTTTCTTTTTTTTTTTAAGGGCCGTTTTGATGAGTCTCCTAGTTCCCGGAAAGAAACTCATGACGGACAGGCGGGGGAAGATTCCCTTCGTCCCCATTGGGCTAAGAAGTTCGTCGGGTGGGAGGAAACTTCCAGTGGGAGGTGAGCGCAAAGACTACGGCAGTGGATCTGACTGGGGTGAAACGGATGCGGAAGCCAAACGCCGCCCAGTTTCCTGGCTTGGCGATGGTGAGGGGAGTCATGTGGCTGCGTTGGTGCCTGGCCGCCAGGAGCGCTTCTCGGTTGGCGCCCCACAGGTGCAAGCGTTTTGCTTATCGGAAATGCCCTCTTTCCCCTCAGTGCCTTACCACCCGCCTCCTTCTCTTCTTTCAATCTTGCAAGCCAACATCCTCTTCCAGTTTGGCCATTGGAAAATCGAGTGGTGCTTTTTCCTTCCCGTTTGGGAAAGGAGGATCCCAGTGGTCCCTTTCTATTAACTCCCGTTTTGTTCCTCGGCTGGTTTTGTTGCCGGCGTTGAATTCCGCGAGATCAACTCGTAGGAAAGTAGACTAGGGCTGAACTTTAATATGAATCCCGCACACCAAAAACGTGGGTCTGTGGTTTGTCCGGCAGCACTGAATGCGCCGACGCTTTTCGCCATTTCAAACGTTTTCTATTTTGATCCAGCCTCCCCGTTCACAGCCCTACGCTGAGATGTTTTGTAAGGTGCACACACACACACCACATGGTGTGCCATGTTTCTTCCTGCTCCAATCCTTACTGACTAGCACTAGCAAGTGGTATTAATGCTCTGCCTCACTTTATATCTGCTTCCTGGCTGGCCCCTTTTCCAAAGCTGTAGCTTCCCACTACATGAGAACTCAAGGGCTCTTTTGTAATTCATATGTCCCCACCTAATTTTAGCCTATTCAAGTTCATGGGAGCTTCTGGGCTCTCAGCATTTCCTCAGCCTGGCTTCTTTCACCCTCGCTCAGGCTCTCTCTTCAAGCTTTTGTACCTTTTCTATATTTTTCCAATGGGTTTTGTTTCTTTCTGCCTTGAGCATGCAACTCTCCTGGATTTCATTACTACATTGGATTTCATTACTACATGCAACTCTCCTGGATTTCATTACTCCCCTGCTTCTTTTTCAATGCAACGTTTCTCCCTCTTGAATAACTTAATCATTTGCTGCAGGATCAAGCAAATGAGAAGTGCAAGTTGTGCAAATTTCTCAATTCCTCTTTAAGAACGTGGTCAGTAACAACTGAATGAGGTTGCAACTGAATGAGGTTGTACTACAAATACTGAATAAATTAGGCCTATGCAGCCTGTCCAGACTGCGGTGGGTGTCTTCTTAATCCCTCCCCCTTTTCTCCGTTATTTAACATACTAGAATGAGCACAAGGCTGCCACTGCTGACCTGGCCCATCCCTTGGCAGCCTACTCAAATTTGAGTTTGTGAAGGTCAATGTTAAGAAAACAGCCAACTAAAAAACCATTCTTGCAATTTCTTAATGGGCAGGCTGAATGCATAAAATGGAACCTAACAGGCATATTCATGATAAATTACTACAATATGCTAGCCTGAGACAAATTACTCTATGGGTTGTTGTTTTTTTAGATGAGATACTTGTAGTTTTTCTTTTGCACTATTCCTCTTTCAACTGCTTGGTCAATGAGTTGCAGTATGGTTGTCTATTAATTTCCGATGGGGTGGCTATTTTGTTCTTGTAAGTCAGACCGAGCCTTATCTTCCCTTGAACTTCCCACCTGGCAAAGTCATAGATGCTAGAAGATAAGTGCTATATCTGGAAGGGGATGCTGCCGTTAATTGTGCTCTCTTTGCCTGATGCTTGTGTGGACAGTTCAGACTTCTGTGCCTTTGGAGAAACTGGAGGATTTTGTGCTATGTTTATGTGTGTGGCGTTACATAATGCCTTAAAACTAGTCAAGTGTGATCTCAGGCTGTGCACAGGAGTCAAATTCAGCCACTTTTCTAAATGGATTTACCTATTAAAGAGACAAATTCAAAAATGGAGAAACAAATTCAGAAATGATACATTGCTTTTAAAATTAGATGAAACATTTATTATTTAGCACTTAACAAGCTTTGAAATCTTAAAAATGATTTATAGAACTAGCTTACTGCAAGATCTTTGGAATATATATCAAAGTCTGGATTTTTTGCCAGTTTCTTAAAGTTAAAAACAATTACTTTTCTGCAATCTTCCAGCCTGAGAATTTTGAATTCCCACGAAGAGATTTTTATAATCTGATTATTTATCTTTCAAAAAATCTAAAACAGATAGCCTTTGTGTAATTCACAGGTGAACAAAGTTACAATATTTTATGGGCTGCAATCTATTAAATGAAAAAAATTGGGGTGGGGATATCGTTTGAAGTAGGTGATAAACAATAAAATGGGAGGAAAATTAAATTCACAAAGTAAAGAAGATAGTGATGATTGCTGCAAGTATTACCATACTTAGTTAGGAAACCTAAGGGAGATCGAGAAAGAAAAGCTTTAGCTGCAATAAATTCTCACTTAGCAACCTCCAGGTATCCATTACACAAAATCTATATTGAATGGAATGAATAAGTATTCTAAGTATTCTAAGTCAAAGGCACCCAGGAGAGGTTGAGATAGAACACCACTGTGATATCCTTAGTTTGATCACCACAGGTGCTCTACTGCATTGTTATCTTTGTGCACATTCAGGGAAGACAGAGGGTATTGCCTCTTGAAGGCTTTCGACATGTCCGTATGCTTTTGTTTCATATTAGGAAGGCTGGAAATAAATGAAAAAGTATTACTTGAAAAGAAACTGATGAGCAGTGACCTGGAAAATCAATTCTATGTGGAAGCATTGAAATTGCTAGATACATTTAGTCTGGAGAACCTGGAGACTGAGCAATGGGGAGATTTTGTGTAATGCTTTTAAGACTGCCTAGACAAATCCCTACAGTTTTCTTGGCAAGGTGTTTCAAAGTACAACCACAATGGAGCCCAAAATTTCTGCTGTTAAGTGAGACGTGGGTTAAGTGAGCTTTGCCCCATTTTATGACATTTCTTGCCACAGTTGTTAAGTGAGTCACTGCAGTTGATAAGTTAGTAATCTGGTTGTTAAGTGAATATAGCTTTCCCATCAACTTTGCTTGTCAGAAGGTTGCAAACGGTGATTGCGTGACCTTGGGACACAGCAAAGGTCATAAATATGAACCAGTTGCCAAGCATCTGAATTTTGATCATACGACCTTTTGTATGCAACAAAAAAGCTGAAAAATGGTCATAAGTCACTTTTTTCAGTGCTGTTGTAACCTTGAACGATCACTGAATGAACTGTTGTAAGTTGAGGACTACCTGTAATTTACCGTTGCCTTTTTCCTAGGGCTGACAGAATGACTGGTCCGTGGTCACCCAGCTGGCTTTCTGCCTAAGGCAAGACTGGAACTCACAGTCCAGTTCCATGGATAAAGGTTTTTCCATAGACTGGACTGGAGGGAGCATGATTTTGTGTGCTACCTGCATCCTTTGGATGGGGCTTAGTTTGGGTGGCCCGGTTTCTGGCATGCCGTGGACCGAGGGTTGGGGACTGCAGCCCTATGTGGTTTCATTGGGAAGATGCGGAGAGGACCTCAAATCACATAATGTTATACAACATTAATGTTCTTGAGATCAAACCTTTATTGCACAAGTTTGCAATTATAAAAATGGATCATATGATCATTTGCATTTGCAAATATCAGATTCATGAAATGCTATTTAGAAAAGAAAGTTAAAGAAAAAATGAGTAAGCTGAGTGAGTGCTCTAAGAATCATGCCTCCGTGGCCTCTCTTTTTTACAGGAATAATATTTTTGGACTTAAACCATGGGACCCCATTTCTCCAGACAGCATTGTCTTCTTGCAGTCCCAGAGGACCTATCGAGCAGTACTGTGCACTGAACTGAAAAAGCCATTGGTTGTGAGGGATGTCCCATCTGCTTTGCTTCAGTCGCATGAGGTAAGCAAGTAACAACGCTAGGGTTGAAAGTTTTCCTACAGGATCAGTTAAGATGGTTTTGTTTGTAGGATTTAGATCACCATGAATGTCTGCTTAAAACAGATTGGGCAGAGTGTGGTCTTCGGCCTTTTCAATTCAGGCCAATTGGAAACATTCCATTCAGATCTCTGGTAAGACTTCTTTCTTTTTCTGATCAGGCTTTTGAAAGGAATCCTCTTTGAATACAGTTCAAAACTGTGGGATATAATTGGACTACATCTATTTTCCATTTAAGACTAACTTGCTACAGATGTTGAATGACTACAGCTATACCCTTTTCCTCCCTTCCTCCCCCCACTCTTGGATTTTTATCATCTTGTCCCATGGCCCATTTCCTAGGTATAAGTATCCATCTGGCCTGAGTAAATAATGTGATTAATTTCTCATTTCTTAAAGGCCCTCTGGAAAGGAAGTCAAACAAAATGGTTGAAAGAAAATTGCACTATTACTACAGTTTTATAAAGAATTTACTAATCTATGCAAATAGTTTCTAGCCTACTGATTTATAAGTAGCCTTTAGTTAACAACTACTCATTTAGCAACTGTTTAGAGTTACAACAGCACTGAACATAGAGACATATGGCCAGTCCTTGAAGCGGTGGCCGTTGCAGAATCCCTACAGCCACATGATCATAATTTGGATGCTTGGCAACCAGCTAGCAATTATGACAGTCACAATACCTTGCAGTTACGAGGTGGCCATTTGTGAGCTTCAATCTGACAAGCAAAGTCAGTGAGGAAGTTGGCAGAAGGTCACAAATGTATTGTCACACCCAATGACTGTACAGGATTTTCTTAACAATCACAACTGGAATTGCCAATGTAAGTTGGCACAGTCATATGACATCCTGCTTGACTGTCATGCCACTTAGCAACAGAGTTGCAGGTCCCAATTGCCATTATTAGCCAAGGACTACCTGATAGTGCATTGTTAGTTGGGAATGAAAGAGCCAGTTCTTTCTGAAGCATCTTAAGATGTTCTTGCTAGGTTGCATGTAGATAATTCAGGCACCTGGAAAAAGCATTTGTAGGGTCAGTTTGCTATATGGGAAAAGGTAACACATGAACCAACGCTTAAAACAGACCAAGAAAATCATGTCCTTTTATTCCCTGTTAATGAAAACCAGCAACTCTGATGGAAGAGAACATTTGTAGTTCAGGATTGAATGGTTAGGTCCTTGGTGCTCTCTGACAATTCAAAACAAACAAGCTAATAGTAAACAATAGCCACCAAGGAGCCACCAAGACCACTCCCACCAACATTGACATGGCAAGCAACTAGTTTGTAAAATGAGAGTAAATCCTTCTGCTTTACCTAGTGATGTTACCTAGTTGGGTAATGAAGCATCTGCAAGAAAAGAACCAGGCTCATAGAACACCAAGGATTTCATCCCAATGACTCTTACATCTGTGTGAAAATACAAAAAATATTGTTTGCTTTAGCATCACTTGACAACAAGAAGCCATATCTTATATATGCTATATCTGCTTGCTACGTATAGCAGAAAAGTGATCCTGTAACTGGAAAGCATAAAATATAGGTTATTATCTTCCAAAAAATGAATTTCTGGCAGCATTTACTGACTGCATCCAAAGGTGTGGAATATGATCCGTGAAAGCCAATGCTATCAGGTTACGGTTAGTTTTTAAGATGCTGATTAACACAACTAGTCCTTTGGAAAATGATTACATTTATAAATTATATTTCCCATTTATTTTATTTGCTTGTTAAATTGATCATAGGTTGGGCTTTTAAAGCAAAGATTAGAATGTCTTCTTCAATCATGTTTTGAGATATTAAGCTAGGAGTTTTCAACATGCAGTGATGCATATGGGAAAAGAGGCTGTGCTTATTATAAGAGAATGCAAATGAGGATTTTTCACAGAGAACTGACATTTTTCAGACTTGTGGATTTCTTGTTGATTAGGTCATGGAAGCTGTCTAATGTTTGCAATGCACTAATCAAAACTGGTATGCTTTGAAAAGACAGAATGTCATCTCCTACTCAGACAGCTTGTAAAGAGACCATAAAAAGGCTGACAACATGATTAATAGACAATAAAAAAATAATGTCCTGTTGAAAAGAAGAAATAAAAAATTTGGTGGTAGTTGAATCCCCACTACATTTTATTGGATTAACATAAAACAGCGAAAATAATTTCCTAGGACAGTCGTTTCCCTCAAATTTAGAAGCTTGTTCAGCTCTTGGTATATATTGTTTCATTTCTAGAAGCTTTTAGTCTGTCTATAGTATTATGCTTAATCCAGTGGTGGGATTCAAAAATTTTTACTACCGGTTCTGTGGCCGTGGCTTGGTGGGCGTGGCAGGGGAAAGATACTGTAAAATCTCCATTCCCTCCCCACTCCTGGGGGAAGGTTACTGAAAAATTCCATTCCCTCCCCACCCCACTAACCTGCTTTTCAGCTCCGTTCTCCTGTGCAGGGCAACAAAAGAAGACCTAGCCGATCAGCTGGGACTCAAGAGGCAAAGAATACATGGGACGGGGCCAGTCAGAGGTGGTATTTGCAGGTTCTCTGAACTACCCAAAATTTCCGCTACCGGTTCTCCAGAACTAGTCAGAACCTGCTGAATATCACCGCTGGCTTAATCCTAGTGGGGTGCATTGTTTTGACCAAATCTTGCAAATGACTGGCAAAGCTTGCTGAACCATAGTACCTTTTTTTAAGGAATCCAGAAACATATGCCTATTTTTATGAATAATATAATGTATGTTTGTAACCTGAGAAGAAACTGGAGTTATAATAGCTTCCTTACTAGTTTAATAAAAATTATTTCTTCTAGTCAGAATTGATAGGACAGATATTTATTCACCAGATTACTTTATGCAATCTCTAGTTTATTCTCTAGAAAGCCAATTTGGAGTAGTGGTTAGAAACCAAGAGAGGAGACTATCTCTTCTAGTCCATCTTAGGCACAAAGCCAGCTGGATGATGGTGGGCCAGTCACTCTCTCAGCTCCAGGAAGGAGGCAATGGCAACCTACTTCCAAAAAATCTTTCCAAGAAAACCACAGGCACTTGCCCGGTCAGTTTCCGGGAGTGAACACTGACTCAAGACACATATACAGAAATTCCCCTTCTCCCTCATTTTCTGGCAATCAATATATCGACCTTGTGGAAAGGATGCAGGATCAGATGAGGAATCCACTTTTTTTTTGTCTCTTCTTCCCTGGTACAAAACAGCAGCCAGGAATATTATGAGAATTCATTAGATTAATCTTATATGCATGTATGGAAAAGAATTCTTTCATTTGTTGCATTTCCCAAGTTACCGTAATCAGATTACTCATTGTGGCTGCCTTCTAAAGAGGAAGAAAACATGGTACTTAACTGTTTAACTCAGGGGTCTCCAACCTTGGCAACTTTAAGACTTGTGGACTTCAATTCCCAGAGTTCCTCAGCCAGCTTTGCTGGTTTAACTTGTCTCCTTCTCCCTCATTCCTTACACCCACAAAGACTTTTCTGGTTGTGTGAGGAGTATGGATTGTCTTTTTTTGTAGGTCAGAATTCATGTCTGTTGCTGTGGAGTCAATTTTGCCGACATACTGGCCTGCCAGGGTCTTTACCAATATCAGCACCCTCTTCCATTCATCCCAGGTGAGTGAAAACATGTTCATGTTGTGACAAGGCGCCCTAACATCAGAACAAAATCTGAACCCTTTGCTAGATCAGCCTTTTCCAATGGATGTATTGGAATAAATTTATCCAGTGATAGAAATGGCAGTTTAACCTCCTGATAGTGTCATATTGGAAAAAAGCTGATATTAATTCCCTTTCTATGTTTCGATTTCTTAACGAGAATCCTGCTTTATAAGAAGACTATGCAAATTTCAGACATACATTTTTATCTAAGATGTAACCCCTGGGAAGCAATAGATTTAAAAAATGAGCCTGAGTGGCGCAGTGGTTAGAGAGCAGTACTGCAGGCTACTTCTGCTGACTGTCAACTGCCCGCAATTTGGCCGTTCAAATCTCACCACACTCAAGGTTGATTCAGCCTTCCATCCTTCCGAAGTGGGTAAAATGAGGACCCAAAATTGTTGGGGACAATATGCTGACTCTGTAAACCACTTAGAGAAGGCTGTAATGCACTATGAAGCAGTATATATAAGTGCTATTGCTATTGTTAAATTAAACTCAAAAGTGGAAACATTCAACTCTACCCGCAATGGAGAAATGATTGGGGAAGATATGGAATTTGCAGAGATGGCTAACTTAACTTCCTTGACAATAGAAAAGACAATATCTACATTTATAGTTGATTTTAAACTTGTTGCATGAAATGGAAAAAAATACACTTATAACTTGTTTTGGAGATTGGGGAGAAAATGGATCACAGAAAAATGAGCTTTTAATATGATTGTATAATAAGAGATAATTTTGTAATCATATTCGCTGTAGAGGAAATCAGAAACTTTTCTATTTTTTATTTCTTCCTCCACTTAAGATTTTTTTTCTTATTTTCTCTATCTTTGTTCTTTCTAGTTTGCATTAGTTGGTGTTTGTTTTTCACTCTCTTAAAAACTTAATAAAATTTATTTTTAAAAAGATAAATATAAAAAACAGGATTTTTTTAAAAAATAAGTATTAATATTTTGTTCCATTCTTTAAAATTTTCTTTATTGTGCTCATGGTGACATCTTCTGGCCAATGCTCAGCAATGATTATAGATCAATTGTTTTAGTATGAGACACACACACACAGAGTGTATATACATACATACAATTATATGTGTGTGTGTGTATGTATACAATGTATGTATGGATTTTCCGGTTTGTCGGCTTCGCGAGCGGCAGGGATTTGCGAAGCTGCGCGATCCCTGCCGCGCTAGCCGTTTTTGGGGCTCCGACCCAGACGGGTACGGAGCTAGGCTGCCCTGCAGGGGCAGCTGAAGGTAGGGGGGATCCGGAGAAGGGTTTGGGGGTGTTGCAGACCCCCTCCCCGGCCGGCAGAACCCCCTTTTCCCAGGACGGTGCAGCGGCGGTCCGTAATGGCCGCCACAAAGAAGCTGGCAGCCGGGTAAGAATGCGCAGGAGGAAGTGGAGAAAGTGCTTGAGAGGAGAAAGTTTTTCTTGGTTCCTAGGACTCTAAGACATATTTAACAAAATTCCTGAAAAGCATGACTTTCTGAATGATACCTTCGAGAAGAGGAAAAAAGCGGCAGTTTAATGGTGCTGAAAGGATAGCTTACCCTCTTTTTTTACGGAATAAAAAGTGAACATTAAGAAACCTACCGTATTTGCCGGCGTATAAGACGACCCGGCGTATAAGACGACCCCCCACCACCACCAGAAACGCCCTCCAGAAATCCCCGGGGCTGCAGCGGCAGGGCGGAGTGCCAGGGGCCGTGGGAAGAGCAGGAAGGCTGCAGCCTCGGGCGGAGCGAGGCGAGCGGGATGAAGCGGAAGCGACGCAGGGGATCCGGGAAGCCAGAGGCGCCTTCGCTGCGTCCAACAAGCATCCGAAAGCCGGCAGTGGATATACCGGCGTATAAGACGACCCCCCCACTTGGAGGCATGTTTTTCGGGGCAAAAAAGTCGTCTTATACGCCGGCAAATACGGTATTTTTTTAGGTGAAAACTGGCTCTAAGCGGTGAGTGGGAAAAGAGGGGACTTAAAAAAAAATATTTGTATGCTAAGACTTTGTTGGAGGAGATGCCTTAAGGATTGAAAGACTAAAATATATTGTAATAAGACTTTAAGAAACAGATTTGGACTTTCCTTTTCTTTAATTGATACTACCCCAGGAGGAGAGAGTGGGAACTCTGTCTTGGTTTGGACTGACTGAGAACTTTGGGATTGTCTTATTTTTCCTTTGGAATATTCTGGCTGTTGTAAGAGAAAAGAAAAGAAAAGATTTATAATGGCTTCTTCTACCGAGGAACTGAGAAAAGACTATGAGCAAGCAAAACAAAATGGTAAAGCTGGTTTGAAAGAAGCTTTCCTTTTTTTAGAAATGGCGCTTATTAATTATCAACAAACATTACAACAGATGAAGACAGCAGAAGAAGAACAAAGAAAGGAAGCCATCTTTAATAAATCTCAGAACTCGACCAAGAGGGAAGGAAGAGGAAAAAGAAGAGAAATAAAGGACTTAAGATTTAAAAAAACATTTAAGAAAGGGAAAAACAAAGTGCAAAATCAATATAAGGATGGTAAACAAAAGGGAAGAGGAATGCGACAGAGAAGGGAAGCCAGTAAGGCAGAGGCTAGAAGAAGGGGGGCTAGAAGGGGGGCTAGAAAGGTTTGTTGGGGGAAGAAAGAAAGGGAAAAGGTGGAGAAAAGTTACAAAGTTTTGAAATTAAATGAGAAAAAAGAATTTTTTTTTAGAGATAAAGGATAAGTATAATTTCTTCAAAGAGATTTTGCAAGGTACATAAGATGATATTGTAGTATTGTATCAGAAATAGAAAATTTAAATGGCTTGAGAGTTGATAAGAGATTAAAATGTTGGAATGTTAATAATGATTGGTTTGAAAATATAATATGAGGGGAGATCTAGAATATTAAACTTTAATTAAAGAGTTTATTAAGATTATGGTATTGATGTTATTATAAAACCTTCATTATAGTATTTTGTTTTTAATATTTTAATCTATTGTTTAACTATGTATTTAATTGTTTTAGATGTATTATTCAGTTAGAATGTACCAAGCAAAATCGGATTGGGTATCTTAAAGATTAATTTGATTAATTTAGTGGGGAGATAGAAAGGCATCCTACTCTGATTAGTGATTTCAGGAGAAATTTCTTTCTTTTTAAAAGGAATGAGACAAAGGTATAATAGAGAATGGACAAAAGATATAAATATAATGACTCAAATTAAGATGATTAATTAAGATAGAATCAAGAAGAGTGAAATATGTGGAGAAGTTAATATAGAAGACTTAGAATGGTAAATAAAATAAGTAATGATATGTAAGATGAGCCTGAATATAATTGAAGTCCATGAAAAGAGAGATACCTGCCAAGTTACTTTCCAAAAAGATCTTTTATATGTTTTGTGTGTGGTGTGATTATGTTGTTTTTTTGGGGGGGAAATTAATAAAACATTGTAGAAATACAGAATGAGAATAATGGTAACTAAGTCAGAAAGAAGCAGATGAAATAATAATAATAAAATTGAATAAGAGTGAAGAGAAATAAAGGGAAATTGGATAAGAGGTTTTTGTATGTTTATATGGAAATGGTTTAAAATAGAATTATAGTTTACCTGACTTGTTAAATTTATAATGGAAAAAGGTTTAAACATGTAATGGAAAATGATGACTTGTGTGTTTTGAAAATTAATAAAACTTGTTTAAAAAAAAATGTATATATGTATGTATGTATGCAGGTCTTGGCGTGTTCAGGTCTTTTCCAGTGTAAGATTGAGAGTATCTTGGCAACATTTTGACGAGGTCCCACTCACCATCTTCAGGCTGGTGCTTTCGGCTTTGTGCTTGTACGAGCAAAGCGTGATCGGAGCTGCCATCTCTCTATAAATACTGGTGGGGAGGTTGGCTGTGTTGTTATTTCTTGATTGGTTGATGGAGTTGGTGTTTGCAGATTGGTTGGCTTTTTCGCCTACCAGACATCTGGAAACTAGCCCTTATCAACAAACGAGTCCCAGCCATGAAAACCAACACCGGACCCAAAACAGAACATGACGCCACATGACGCCACCACCAGTCTCCCTCACCAGTGGGACCTCGTCGAAATGTCACCAAGATACTCTTAATCTTACATGGGAAAAGACCCGAACACACCTAGACCTATATATATATATATATATATATATATATATATATATATATATATAT